GCACCTACGTTATAAAAGGAGCCCCCATGCAAAATTTGAGAGCCTAACATGTAGTTTCTGAGATTTCGTGATGAGTGAGTCAGTCACCTTCCTCTTGAATCACTCTATTTACTGCTGAAAACTGCATTTAAATCCGTTGTGTAAAGACAAGAATACACGTTCAGTGTAGGTCCCGACGCAAAAAGTTCAAATGAATTTTTTACGTTACTAGCGGCCGCCCGCGACTTCGTACGCGTGGAAACTTCCATCCAACCCCCGTTTTACCCCCTTAGGGGTTGAATGTTGCAAAATCCCGTCTTAGTGACCACCTAAGTTCTAAAAGGAACCCCCATGCAAAATTTGAGAGAAAATTTGACCTAGCACATTGTAGTTTCTCAGATTTCGTGATGAATGAATGAATAAATAGATTTTGATGATGTTAAGAGCGCTTTTACTTTAGGGCGTGAGAAACGCGACAGCAGCGCGGCAGCGGCGTTTTTATAATCCGCTGTCACATAGTATGAAATTATCGACAGCGCATCAGTCGCGCGTTTGTCTAAAGCGGCCAAAATGTGAAAGCACTCAGTCAAAACCCAAAGCAAAGACAAGAATACACGTTCAGTGTAGGTCCCGACGCAAAAAGTTCATTTATCGTACATTTGAACGGGCTGTTAGCGGACATAAAATCGGACACGCTCGCGCGATGAGCAATTTAGCGGGCGATCCACTCGCTGTGTAACTAACTTCATTAATTGTAAGGCCTGGGGCTCACGAGCTGAATGTTGTTTTTCAAAGGATTCCGTTGGTTTTTTTGTCAATAAAACCTTTTTAGTTCTTTTTGATACATTGTGTTAAACTTAAAGCACACTGATGAAACATAAATTAGTTAGGTACTTGTGCCTTTGTTGCAAAATTTACGAACTGTTTGCAAAATACTTAGTTCATTGTATTCCTTCAGAATAGTTATGTCAAGAATTTGTTGGAACTCTTGAAAAATCAGAATAACTTCATTAGTAACGCTAATTTTGTTTCATTTATAGTGCTGAATACCACTTGCTTCCAATCCAGTCATATTGAAACGCTAAGCTATATTTCAGTCATATTTTTTCAGTTTAGAAAAAAATTCTGTCCAAATTTTCGATGGTCCATTGGCTTTGGCATGTCTTTTAATCCTTTATAACACTTTGCTTAAATTAATCCACTCTTTAAGCGAAAAGGTCTTGCTTAAAACGGAACCCTATAATATGTAGTTATTAATTTTAAAGGATATTTTAAACGCTACTACACTTTAATATTCATTAATAATAAAGCACGGAGTACACAGCCTCATCATCAGCTCACCTATAACTAGTTTTGTAATGACTATTGCCTCACGTGTTTGGCTAATGGCGATTATTAAGCTGTAATGATGGCAATCTAAGGAGATAAAACTGTATCCACCACATCAGAACGGAATCAAGTCTATTGATTTCTATTTCTACTGATTTAGATTTTTTTTGCTATAAAGTAGTTTACCCTAAAAACTAAACTTTCAAGGTACATTATAATATTGTTACATATTTTAGTAATGATCATCATCATCATAGATAGACAATTTGTTCGTTCGGTCGTTCGTTTTAGCCAAATGACGTCCACAGCTGGATTTGTCCAGCTGTAGACGTCATTTAGAGACCTATGGGTCTCCCCCAAGGATTTCCACAATGACCATTCCTGCGCTTCCCGCATCCAGGTAGGTACTTCCTATCATCCCATGACCTTTCTCGATCTCGATCCACCTAGGTGAGGCAGTAGCGGCGTAAGGGGGGGGCGGTGGGGGCGGTCCGCCCCGGGTGCCAGGCATCAGGGGGTGACAAAAGTCGCGCAGATTAGTACTCACTGGCGCATCTGCATGACAAAGATCATGATACTTGGGTGCGATTGGTATCATTATAGCTGATTCGTACTAACATCTTTTTTCTTCAAGTCGGTAACTCAAAAATCCTGGGGGGCACCAGACCTGACCATTCTGGGGTGCCATAACCCCGTATATGGAGGGGGAGGGGGTGACCGCCCCGGGTGCCAAGCTATGCTACGCCGCCACTGCCCGCATATACGAATAACATCGTCGGTCTTTACATTCTGTATTGATGCGATCTGACAGTGCGGGCACGAGCAAAGAACGCAAACTGACAGTTCACTTGACCTGACCGCAGACCGCATTCAGTGTGACTAATGTATAAAGGGACGCCATAAGAAAGTGCGTGTATTATAAAATTGGCATCACGTCACTAGTGGTAGAGTTTAAGAGCGTTTACGTCTAGCGTGGCATGTCAAGTTTAGGTAATTTCGATGCTAGTTTTATTCACACTAAAATAATTATGACTGTGTGCGTGTTCTCACGCTCTATAGTCAAACCAAAATACTTTGATCCACCATCGTAAAAGTATGCCAGGCTGTCAAGTGACAGCTCAAGGAAACTATAAAATCTTCAACTCTTCCAACACCGACTCCATAATGAGGATCATNACTAGCTTTTCGCCCGCGGCTTCGCCCGCGTGGAATTTTGTCTGTCACAGAAAAACTTTATCGCGCGCGTCCCTGTTTCAAAAACCGGGATAAAAACTATCCTATGTTCTTTCCCGGGACTCAAACTATCTCTATGCCAAATTTCATCAAAATCGGTTGCGAGGTTTAAGCGGGAAAGCGTAACAGACAGACAGACAGACAGACAGACAGACAGACAGACAGACAGACAGACAGAGTTACTTTCGCATTTATAATATTAGTTGGGATATCTTAGAGACAGGTGATAATGATCTTAAGGACATTCAATTAAATTATGTAACACGCGATAATAAAATCTACAGGAAAGTCGGAAATAAATTAAAATGGGTTGTACCAAATTCTGCTCGTTGGAGAATATGTCAAATGAATCATGATGAAGCGGGTCACTTTTCTTTCGAGAAAACTTTGGAAAAAATTAAGTTCGACTATTGGTTTCCAAAAATGAACCGCTTTGTCAAGAAGTATGTCAAGGCATGTATAAATTGCGCATATAACAAGGAATTGGCTGGAAAGAAAAGTGGCTCACTACATCCGATACCTAAAATCAAGGCAATTTTCCACACTATTCACTTGGATCATCTAGGTCCATTTGTGAAAAGCAAACGTGGGAATTGCTATATTCTGGGAATTATTGATGCATTTAGTAAATTCATTTTTATAAAGGGTGTAAGAAACACAAAATCTAAATCCACGATTAAGGTGCTAGAAGATATTTTCTCGGTATTTGGACAACCTAAAGTAATTATCTCAGATCAGGGCACAAGTTTCACCTCTGGAGAGTTTAAAAATTTTACGAGTGCTATTGGAACCAAGCACGTATGTAATGCCGTGGCAACGCCGCGAGCGAACGGACAGATTGAAAGGTACAATCGCACTATTTTGAACTCTCTGGCGGCAATGAACCACGGTCGAGATGAAAAGGACTGGGATGCTCAATTAGGTAGACTACAGTGGAGTTTAAATAATACAGTCAATAAAAGTACAGGAAAGTCTCCTGCTGAAGTTGTGTTCGGACAAAAGACAATAGGACATTCAGAGGGAATAATAAAAGGGGCCTTAGATCAAACTGAACAGATGACAGATATAGAAAGAGAAGAACTTAGAAAAACGGTACAAGATACTATACATGATAATCAAGAAAAGATGAAGAAATTATTTGATAAGAATAGAGCACCAACAAAAATATTTCAAGAAGGTGATTTGGTAATGATACCAAACAATAACCCTGATAAAGGTAAAAGCAAAAAGCTAGCCCCTAAGTTCAAAGGCCCTTTTAGGGTTTCAGGTGTATTGGAGAAGGATAGATATGAAGTATCAAATATTGTAGGACACTCGAACCGTAAATATAAAAATATATTCCCTGCTGATCATTTGAAACCATGGATCAGTGTTGATATGAATACTTCTAATTCGGTTAGTGATGCTGGCTCGAATAGCGATGAGTCTTCTTCGGAGTAAATAACTTTATACATGATTTTTCTTATAATTTACAATTAGCATGCTATAACCTCCTTTCCTATCCTGACATTTACAGCCCAGGTGCTTTCTGAAACATTTTGAGAGGATCAACTAAAGATGGTTTAGCCGATGCACGCTGATGCGAGTATCTAGGTTCTCGTATATGAACCTTCCACTCGTGCAGAGGATACACGATTTCAAGTGATAAGTCTATGTTAACCCCTTGTTGTGGTACTGCTACATTTCTAATATGAAAATGATCATCTTAATTTCCGAGCGTGAATGATTAATTCGTAGATTGAGTGTATATCATTATTATTTTGGTGAACTAAAAATGTGGTGCCCCAGTGTGGCAAATATGTAATGAATGCCCCAGTGTGGCAAATGTGATGAGTGCCCCAGTGTGGCAAATATGTGATGTCCCCAGTGTGGTAAATAAATATGTGATGCCCCAGTGTGGTAATTTTAAGTGATGTGAAATAAATAAATGTCCCCAGTGTGATAAATATGTGATACCCTAGTGTGGCAAATGTGACGCCCCCAGTGTGGCAAATGGTGAAAAGTGTTGTGATTGCCCCTAGTGTGGCACTGAACTATCAACTAAAACTGTCCTAAGTTAAATAAATAATTATGCGTATATAAAATCAATTACCGAGTGATATTTGATTGTTATTAAGTTTACTTAACTAAGCAGCATAAACTAATGAAATTGTTTTTGTTGTACATACTTAATACTTATATAGGAATTATATTGGTTTTGTTATAGTTACATACATAGGAATTATATTGTTTTGTCATACATAATGATATGAAATTGAATTATACAAAATGAGGCTAATTTTGGAAAGTCAACATAATTAATAGTGGTAATCAAAGTATTTCTAAAGATACACAAAATATTTACAATAATAATTATATAAAATATAATAATATACAAAATATTACAATTATTAGGTTGTCTTAATCAAATTAACGAGATTTGAGATCTTACTTGAATAATGTAAGTGATATGTGAATTACTGGAGTGATGATTATTATTTATTTTGTTTTTGTATGTAATTTTGTGTTCCTTCATTTATCACCACCTATGCAAAATTAAAATTATTGTTAAATTGTTTTACTGCACTAGTTTAGCATAAGAATGGTATGAGGACATACCCACGTGATGAATGGCCGAGCTGGATTTGGGGATGGGGACATCCCCGCGGCAGAATGGCCGTCTGTTAGCAATCAGGCTTCCATTTTATTAATAACATTTGAAATTACCTACATTGTATAGTCGTTCAACGAATATTTTGCCTTAGACAGTCCTGTTTTGAAAGCAGGCGCCAATCTGTCGCCGGCGGCCATCGGAGCGTGACGCGTGCGGCGCTTGTTTTATCAATCTTGTAAATTTCTGTACGAAGAGAAATATAGTATTGATTGGATCCTGTGGGTGTTATTTCCGGAGTTGACCTGAATTTCTAATAAGTCAGAAGTGGTAAGAACGTTGGAGAAAACCAAGTGGTATGTACACTATTTTATTATTATATTTTCGTACCATAAATACGGTTTGCTTCTAAATCCTCGTTTTTTTTATATAATATTGCATACTGAATTCGTTTGTATTTCGTTAAGAATTATTGATCTTAATCAAGCATACATCAAACATAACAATATCTACCTACCTGTTCGCCCAGTAAGTATAATAACAAGTAAGTCGGTAAAATAGGAATTCCCTGCGAGGTAAAATACTCAAAATAATGTCTGGCTAGTAACATTAGGTACTAGTATTGATTAGCGGTAAAACTCATTTGTAGAATAATAGATTTATTTTTGCTATGTTGTGCAATAAAATATAATGCCTACAATGTAACAAAACGTACTTATTGATTTGTGTTCCTGGAACAAGAACATGACTGTATTGGTTTTGTTCCGAAACAGACAGTAAACATCATAGTTGGAAATTATTTATTATTATTTTAAGCAATTAAACACCAATACTCGGGCGAAGTGTTTTATCAGGTAGGCAGTAATTCTGAGTCTTTTGTATAGTAACTCACTGTAAATCAATTAATAAAAATTGATGCATTTTTCTTTAACACTCAAATCAATACATTAAATTGATAACCAATCCATTTAATAATTAAGTAACAAACATTGCAAACACATTACATACGTACCTATGCTTTACTTTGTGGACAACCTCATTTTATTTTACTTGTTTTATTTATTGTTTTCTTATTTAATTATGTTTGATAACTATCAACAACGCAATGGTTAAGTGCAGTCACCCGGCAAGCGAAAAGTCGCGAGTTCGATTCCCGGCTTAGGCAGTTCGTTTGCAATTATAATAAAGTATATTTTTACAGTGGTAGTGATTTAAACTTTATAGACAGTTACTTTCAAATAAACTGGTTATATATATAATACTTCATTCATTAACTATTTTTCTTCTTTGTTTCTTCCTTACTAACCTCACCTCTTACATTTAATTAACAAATCACATTATTATTACTAAAATGATTGAATAAACAAAGCTCCACTGCAACAGACCGACTTTATTGAAATTATGTCTTCGTCGGAGATCTCTCGTTATACACCACCTTTAGATAATCGGAAAAATACGAGGCCGTCCCGCTGTAGGGATCGTCGTGATCGCCCTCTGCGGAGGCTACGGCCTGAAGTTTCTCCGAAAAATAGGGACCGACGAAAACGTGAAACATACCGCAGTAGATCGCGTCGTCGGCGACCCTCCACTGAGAGCTCCGATAGTAGTTCCTCTCAATCTAGCCCTCGAAGGCGGCGGAGACGGACACCTTCGACTGATCGTCGACGATATTCTACTAGTACGACTACGGGTTCAGTGGAAAGTACTGACTATTCTAGCCACGATTCACGCGTTCAACTCGGAAAAAGAAAACGTCAGCGATCCAGTACTTCCACATCGGGAAGTCTATCGTCTGGATTGAATTCGGAAAGACCATCACGTCAAAGGTACCGTTTGAGAAAATCTCAGAAGAGACGGCGTTACTCAAGATCTCAAACGTCTAGAGACTATGGGGTACTCAAGAAATTTGCTCGTTTGTTCGGTAAGGCTGATCAGCACTTCGAAGGGGCACAACATGTAATCCCTGAATTTAACCCGGATGCAAACGACCAGTCAGCCGTTAACTGGGTACGTAAAGTAAACGAAACTGCCAGAATTTATAAATGGAGTGACAAACAAATAATTTTCTATGCAATTCCAAAATTAGCTGGCCACGCTAAGAAATGGTACCAAGGTTTGAGTACTATTAACTTAAGTTGGCGAGAATGGCAAAAGAAAATTGTTAAAGCTTTCCCCGACGATCGCAATTATGCTGATCGACTTTCGGAAATGTTGGAAAGGAGAAGTAGAAGGGAGGAATCACTAGAAGACTATTACCATGACAAGGCAAGATTGGTGAAAATGTGTGGTATAGAAGGACGTAATGCAGTTGATTGTATAATTAACGGCATATTTGATTTTAACATACGTCTCAATGCCCAAGGCTCAAGTTTTAAAAGACCTTCTCAACTACTGAAATATCTCCGCCGAATTTCTAAGAAAAACAACGTACTCCGCAAAGCTAATCAATTAAATAGGTATGAACAAAATACGAAGGCTGGAGAAAAACTATTGAATGCGGGAAGTCAGAAAGCAACTACTGTTACCAATCGCGAAGGTTTTAGGCAAATTCAATGCTTCAACTGTCTCGAAGTAGGTCACACCTCGCGCACGTGTACAAAACCTAGAAAACGGTGTGATAAGTGCTCTCGTTTTGGACATGACAGCCTTAAATGTGAATTAATTAATAATATCCGGGATAGAACCAATATTAATATCAAAGACAGTTCAGACAGTAAAGTGGAGCCCGTGAAGAAAGTTTTAAAAATTACACCTGGAGACTCGACAAATGGCAAGTATTTTAAATCTGTAACATTAAATAATATAAAGCGGTCGGCATACATTGACTTTGGAAGTCAATGTACATTAGTACGTAAGAGCGTAGCAGAGGAATCTTATTTACCACTAATTAAATCAGGGTTACCCGTTATTAAAGGATTTGCTTCAGGAAGTGTGGTGCCCCTTGGCAAAAGCACTGTTAATATCGTAGTTGATGCTGTAGAAGCAGATGTCGAAATCTACGTGGTCGAAGATGATTTATTAGATACTGATGTTTTAATCGGACAATCTTTGACTGAATTACCAACAGTTGTAGCTTACAAAACTAATTCTACCTTAAACTTATACTGTGATGATTCAGAGGCAGAAAGAATAAGTATTTACTGCTGTCAGGGAGTAACATTGCAAGTAGGGATGAACACTGTAAGTATACGAACCGATGAAGAATATACAGGATCATTATTCGTACCAGGAAGTATCTGTATGAAGCCCGATAATCAGTATGTTCTATTGCAAGGGGTGTACCAACTTCATAATAGTAGGGGTCAACTTGTAATTATAAACTCTTCAAAAAATCCTCTTTGTTTCAAAAATAGTAAGTTACTGGCTCGAGCTATAAAATTTCCACAGAATCGCGTACTTTCTTCAGGTGCACTATCATTTGACGTCAACAAAGTAAACTTAGATAATGAACCAGTTACATCGCAACCTAAAACCAAATGTCCAATTACGTTAGACATGATAAACATCGGACCAGGAATCAGTGAATCTGAAAAAGATCGTCTGGTTCAATTGTTGAATAACTTTAGAGATTGCTTCGCATTGACTCCATGCGAGCTTGGTCTTACCAACATAACCGAGATGACTATTAGGTTAAACGACTCTGCACCTGTCACTTATAAGCCATATCGATTACCGTTTAGCGAACGGGCTAAAGTAAGGGAAATAGTAGGTGACCTGTTGTCGAATGGGGTTATAAGAGAATCTCAGTCAGCGTACTCTAGCCCAATTGTCCTAGTGAAGAAGAAAAATGGTGAATCTCGCCTGTGCGTCGATTACAGGGCACTGAACAAAAAGACTATTAAAGATAGCTACCCCATGCCAGTCATTGATGATCAATTGGACCGATTAAGTGGAAAATCACTATTCACTAGTCTAGATCTTGCATCAGGCTATCATCAAATCCCTGTGGCTGAAGACTCACGTCACATAACAGGTTTCGTAACTCCCGATGGGCATTACGAGTATACTCGAATGCCCTTTGGCCTCGTGAATGCACCGGCTGTATTTCAAAGCATGATTAATAAAGCCCTTGGTGCAAAACGCTTTGATTTAGCCATACCTTATCTTGATGATCTTTTATGCACAGCCAGTACTACAGATGAAATGTTTGATAAGCTTGAATCCATTTTTCAACTACTAAAAGACGCTAACCTTACGCTAAACCTAAAAAAATGCTTCTTTTTCCAATCTAAGCTTGATTACTTAGGATTTGAAATATCAGAAGAAGGCCTTAAGCCCGGTAGTACAAAGATACAGGCTGTTCAAGAGTTTCCCCGTCCAAGCAATGTACACCAGGTAAGACAATTTGTCGGACTGGCAAGTTTTTTCCGACGATTTGTTTATAATTTTGCTTGCATTGCTAAGCCCCTAACGAAACTGACTAAGGCAGATGTGCCGTGGGTATGGGGTGAGGAACAAGAGGCAGCATTTCTCGATATTAAGTCAAAGCTCATTACAAGACCAGTGCTAGCATTATACAATGCTGAGTTTATTACAGAGGTGCATTGTGACGCTAGTAAGGTGGGCGTAGGCGGAATACTTTTACAGAAACCTAACGAAGAGTCACCACTGCGGCCAGTCGCGTACTTCAGTCGGCAGACCACCAAAGAAGAAGAGTTCTGGCACTCTTATGAATTAGAGACCATGGCCGTTGTGATGTCGCTGAGAAGGTTTCGTGTTTATTTGATTGGCATCGAATTTAAAGTCATTACTGACTGCAACGCCTTACGCTCCACGTTGACGAAACGTGATTTGTTGCCAAAGGTTGCTAGATGGTGGCTTATTCTCCAAGAATATAATTTCTCCATTGAGTACAGACCAGGTCACAGTATGCAGCATGTGGATGCGCTAAGTCGGAATCCGGCTCCTATCTTGGAACAAGAAGAAATTGAAATTTTGAATATTACCACAAAAGATTGGCTTCAAACCGTTCAGATGTCAGACTCAAATTTAAAAAATATTAAGAANCGCGATAACTATGATTGACGTAGGTTTTATAAAGCGGGGTTGCAATAGACTAAATCGTTAAATCCGGCTCGGTTGGGACCATGAATATGGATGAGCGTAATTATACATTAAATCATAGTTAAGGGGGCAAAAGGGGAGCAAAGAACAAGTGGACTGTATCTAAATTATTTTGCGGGGTTTTCAATAAAGCGGAGTCTACAAAGAAATGATGGCGAAAATGGCGGTCGATACACCTCGTGCAAAATGCTGGAAGTGCCGGGCTGGGCGGGAGAAACAACAATAGGAAACAGCCCGGTGGAAGAAGGAGAGTGTAGTGTATAGACCTCAGATCATAGAAGGGAATAGATGTGAAACGGGGGCGTGGCGCGTGTCTCCGCGATATGCATGTGTTAAAGTATTTGTCGAAGAGAAATACTAAGGGTTCGGACAATATTTTCATTGAATAATGTTTCCGACAAAGGTTGTCAAATTGACTGACATGTTTATCGTATAGTACAGTCCACTATGAAAATTAGCTGTGGTTTGTTTCAACTACCTATTTTAAAGTTTTTTGTCACTTTCTAAGTGTTGAATTTTATGGGATTGGGAAAGAAGTACCGAGTTTGAAGCGTTCATGAGCAGACATTGCAGTTGAATATTCAAGTTCTGAATTTGATTATTGATGAATAATAAAATAAATTCTACTAGCTCGATTGATGGTTTCATTTATTTAAATCAGGTTACCTATAATAATATTTTTTCGTTAATTTATGAAAATATCTAATTAGCCCGTAATCCTGAATCCTGATACATAAAGTTAGCCTATTAATTTAACACAGGTACGACTGTACTCAGTGTTGCACTATCAAATGCAATTGACGCGCCTCTATGCCAGGGTTTTTATGTTCCTGGTCAGGCTATACCGTTTCGTTACGTACATTTTTTTTGAGAAATACTCTAATGATACTTATTCATATTTTTTTTAGCTTTTGTCATTCAGGTTGGCTATCAGTATTTATGTTGTAAAAAGACACTGTAATAAAAACATAAATGTTAATCAGTACTCTAATAGAAATTCAAATTTCATTCAAGTAAAAAGTATTTATTTTGACATCACATCAACAACAAAATAATATATTAGTCATGATATTATACAAATGAAATATAGCACATTGACGGCCGAATACTGAAACGCCATTTAAATATTTGACGGCTTCTCAAATAGTTAAGCAGCTCCTAAACTTACATTTCGCATACTCAAAACAATATCTGAGCAGTTCTCAATTTTTAAGCACCTCTCAAATTAAGTTGCACTCAAACGCCACTTAAATGAATTTTCGCATACTGAAACGCCATTCAACGCTAAGCACTACTCAAACAACTGTCAAATCGTCTTAAGCAGCTGTTAAATTTGAGAGTGCTGGCGCGGTATCTTAAATCCTATTCTTATACCTAAATCGACCTAAATAGTGGTAAATAATGTGTGTCATCGTTATCATTTCTTTCGAGCCTCGAGGAAATACCTAGATCTAATCGCAGGAACGCAATAAGGCTGAACGCTATTGAAAAATATTATTATAATGACATGCAATTCCGAGCGAGGTTCCGCGTCCCTAAAGAAACGGTGTTTTTTCTGGATTCATAATTTGGAAGCTCTTTGAAACCCCTCACCAAATACAACCAGTGGACCAAATACTTATTATAACCCTACTATTCTACGCAACGGGAAGTTATGAACGTGTACTAGGTGATATCTTCCACATCTAACAGCCAACTGTGCATCGTATAGTGCACGAAGTAACAACCAAAATAGCTGCTATGAAATCGCTTTACATAAACATGCCTATTTCTGAGGATTAAGGGGACATCGCATAGCAGCATTTCCAAGAGTTGTTGATTTGTCAATTTGATGCTCTGTCAGTCAACAATGATAAATGTCAATTGTGGTTACGTTTCGGTCCACGATCGCCACTTAATAGATTTCAACAATAAAAAGTATCACATTTAAAATTATTTTTTTAATTAAATAAAAATGCAAGCATTAATTTTTTTATATGATAAAACGAGATTTATATATAATAGAAACTAAAAATAAACTGTTCTATGTTAAGTTGATTGAGTATATTTCCATAAAAGACAATACATAACCAAACGATGCTGCGTGTAATGGATAAAAGACGTAAAGTTATCATTTGTGTAAATGAAAACATACTTTTTTTGGTAAATGTTGCCATTATGTAAACATTTGAGAGCTGCTTAGCTGATCACGGCTTTAAATCCGTTGAGTAGCGTTTGAGAATACCATTTAAAATTGAAGGATACTTAAATTTAGGAGCCCGTCAGCTGAGTGACAGATTTGAGTAGTGTTTCAGTATTCGGCCGTAAGTTTTAACACTTTGGGGCAGTGTGGATCCATTGTGGCGAGGCCACTTGAAGCTCAATACGTCGAACTGTGATGAGTTCGTCATCAATTTCGTGGACGTTGTAGAATCTTTCCAGGTCCTCTATGGCTTTATCTTCCAGCTGCGGAATAAATAATAATGGTTACTAGGATTTCTACATAACAATGAAAATGCTTTGATTAATAAACATACTTAAAATCAATAATATAAAACACAACTGTTTGAATAATTAACTGAAGTCACTGATACACTGTTGCTAACTTTTCCATTAAACTAAGTATATTGAAAAACATTTTTTTAACTAAGTATTGTTTGTAATTTGTTATTTATTTGTAGGTAGAGAAGAGATATAAAAGCAAAAACACTTGCCTGTGTCAATGTTAGTGGTTTAGTCATAATTCTAGAGGAATCCTCCTTTTGCTTCTTCTGATCGGTCAAAATTTGGTTGAACTCCATTGTTTTCGGCCTGTTTGGGCTGCTGCTGGCTGTAGGTGGTTCACAAATTTTCCAAGGATTTTTTGGTTTTGCTGGAGTCGTATCTACATTCAACTTATTTGCAAAGCTGTCTTCCAAGTTCCCTTGCATCGCCAACTTTTTCCTCTGTTTCTGCGACAGTTTTGGTCCAATGTGACTTATAACTAGGTTGCCCTGTGGACTCCGCGCCATTTCCGCAATAGGCGAATCGTTGGGCGAAATAGACATACGAGAAGTAGTAGGCGAATTATTGTCTGCGCTGCTAGAACGAGCTATGGCACTGAAAGAGTTATTCTTTGTCAACTTCACAAATTGCTCGGTAGGTGGTTCGTTCAAGATATCGGAAGCGTTTCCGACTGCTTTGAGTCTCGCTTGAACAACTTTCAGTTGCTTTTGCTGAGCTGACGGTACTTCTATCCATTTCTCCTGCTTATCGCGAGGAGTTTTCTCTGTCTCCTTTGATATATTTTTCAACGACAGTGTAATATCGCCGGACATATTGGAGAGATCTAATGACGACACTGAGCTCACGGATTCGTATCTCATTCGTGCTTTTTCGCTTTCCGTGTATTCTATTTTCTTGGGTTTCTTCTTAGTAACTTCTACTACGGTCTCATCTTTCTTCATCTCTTCATTGGTGTGTTCTAAGTTAATTGGATAATTAGTAGCGATCTCTTCAATAGTTTCGTCGCTTGGGGCGTTGAAAAACGGGGTAATGATTCTCGAAGACATGATTGGGTTGAATCTGCAGTAGTACTTTGATATATCATTGAGCAGGGTTTCTTCGACTACTTCAAGTATTTTGTTTTCGAGGACACTGCAGAGGTTTAGCGATATGAATTCCATGCAGCATTGTTTGAGTTGGGCGGCGTTGTACGTGTGAGCGAATTGGCAGAGTTCGGCGCAGTTTTTGAGCGTGATGACGTTTGATAGTGCCACCTCGCACATTTCCCTGAGGCGGGTTATGAACAGCTGGTCGGCGATTATTAGCATGCTGCAGATGAAGTCGATGCTCTCAGAGTTTTCAACTTCGGGACACGTGTCGGTGTATAGGAAGTTGATGACTGGAAGGAGTATCCCGTGGTTTATTGGGAGAGTCACCGTTGATAGTTGTTTGCTCTGGAACAATAGGTTGTAATTTTTTTATAAATGTACTTTAATGACGTGTGGTTGTGAGTGTGACGCTCGCATCGAGATCGCACCTATTTGAATTAGTGCGTAATCCGATTTTCAGGAGACAGAGTCGAAATTAGTGTAGGTAATTAATATTCTAGTCACCACCATATTTCGAATCTTCTCGGTTCAATAACATTATGAAATTCGTGGAAAAGTATTTCGAACGAACGACCATAGTGGTTTATTATTGTGACCTCAGTTGGTGAAGATCGATAGTGGTCTAATTTGCATTTTTACCTTTTTAATCAAAAGTAAGCAGTCTTCATGCAAATAATCAAACAACATCATCTACACCTCATCATCATCTAAACCTATAGAGGATTTAGGACGCTATTTGGATCAAATATGTAATTGCTCAATAATGAATAATAAATAAATAATAATAATAATAAATAATACAAATATCATTTAAATGGCATTAATATAACTTTACTTCTACACAACACAATAATACATTGCTCCAGGTTCCAGGGTGCATTTAAAGAACCGTTTTCATATCTTTTTGACGTTCATAAGTGTGAAATCCTGGTGAAAAATTAATAAAGATTTTATGTGTCGCTATTTGGATCAAATATGTAATTGCTCAATAATGAATAATAAATAAATAATAATAATAATAAATAATACAAATATCATTTAAATGGCATTAATATAACTTTACTTCTACACAACACAATAATACATTGCTCCAGGTTCCAGGATGCATTTAAAGAACCGTTTTCATATCTTTTTTACGTTCATTAGTGTCAAATCCTGGTGAAAAAGAAAGATTTTATGTGTTACTAACCTCCGTCCAAGAATGCATGAACATCCCATTAAAGTACTCCAGCCTCGCGGCCAGCACACACTTATGTGCGGGTATCAGGACGCCATCCTTAGAGCACACGTTGGTATTGATTAGCTCCGGGAAGGCGGTGCGGTCCCAGCACTGTGGCGGGGTTCGAGAGAGTAAGGCTGAGTCTTTTAGGTGCACTGAGCCGTCCCTGT